TAATAAATATCATATTACATCTCATGCTTCTAGGACATCATTCCCAACAAATTTAATGTTAGATCAAACTTGTAATCACATTTATTAGGTCTAGTTGGCCATATAAAAAAGGTATTTATCATAAATTGATTTGTTCGTAAATAATTGTCATATGGTGTTGATCTAATAAAACGTTGACCAACAAAATTATCGCAACTCAACTCAAAAATATAATTTTTACAAATTTTATTTTGTCTTTAAACATGACACCTGATTCACATTTGAATACAAATTTAGGGGTTATTTGATCGGAAAGTTCAAAGAGTTTGAATCCAGGTTCAAGTTCACACTAATGTTTGTTTGCAAAAAGTAAAAAGGAGTTTGAATATATTAATGTGACATTTAAATCCTCAAAATAAAATGATTTCTAAAACCACATCCCCTTAAATTCTCAAGGTTTGAACCCAAATTCAAACCCCACAGTTCAAAACCCACATGGTTCAAACTCATGTTCAAATCCACCATGATTTGAACTCCTTTACCTAATGACCCTTGAGCAATCACATAGTATCTTTTTCTTCCTTTTTTTTCTCCGAATCATATGAATGTATCAGTCATTTTGAATTCTAGTCAAACCCGATGTTTTTTTTTTTTTCCCCTTAAAATGACAAGAGTGCTCTTATATACACATCGATAAGGAGCTTTATCAAACACCCTATATTAAAGTATCATCAAATATAATGCTAAATAAGTGTGTCAACATCAAATTTTATCAGAAAATTATTCTTCAATGCGATGTTAAGCTGGCATATGTTATTAGCACCAAAATGATATGTGCTAAATTTTTGGTATTTGATCTTAGTGGCCGATGGCTTGACCGTATTTGATCATTACAAAATTGTCATTTACAAAATATTTAATTTGCAAAATATTTTAAAATTAAAGGTCTACTTTTACGAGTTATAAAGTTTATTGTGTAATAATTATGACAAAAATAAATATAAAATTCGATTTAACATTATCCAAACACAACAAATATTATACTAAATAAGAGGTGGGTTTTTAGTTGTCAGTGTGCCATGATCTAATGGTGTCTTATTTCATTATTTCATTTAAAATATTAACAACGTTAGCCTTTGTTTATTTCATAGGTTTTAATAAAAAAATTTGGTTAAAAAATTCAAATTTAACTTTTTTATTCTAATATTTTCTCTCACATAAATTTACTTTTCAACTCAAATTAATGACTCGAATCAGTAAAATGAATAATACATATAAAGTTTCTGTTCAAACGGGATATTGATCAAAAGGAATGTTACATAATATTGCATAAATTGAGGGGCGTAATCGTAACAACTCATTTTGTTGATGGAGTGTCACTGTAATATTGCATAATTAGGGGATGTAAGTGTAATTTTACCAAAAAAGAAAAAAAGTTTTATTTAATTCGTTTTTTGTTCCACTCCAATGGCACGAATTCGCGTGTTTGTATTAAAACTTCAGTTTTCACTTATCAATATATAGATTCTTACAGAGGCATGTTGACAGGAGTGTTATAATTCTTGGGAGTCTATAAAATTTTTCAGTTATTTGGGGAATTTTGTTACTTAGTAAGAACTAAGAAGGGTTGTTGGCATAATTAATTTTAGTCATGGGAGTGTCACGGTTGCATTTGCATTGAAGTTGGGGGATGTGAGTGTAATTTTTCTAAAATTAAAAAATTGTATTTTATTTTGTTTTATTTATTTATTTCTTTTTTTATCCCACTTCAACGCACGAATTCGTGTGTTTGTACGAAAACCCCAGTTTTCACTTCTCAATAGACTCGTACATAAACAGCGTAAAGCCCCGAACTCGAAATATCCCCTCCAAAAACCCTAAAAACCTCTCTCTCTCTCTCTCTCTCTATAGCTCTACCTCTTGACAATGGCGACGGCTTCCTTGGACGAAGAAACATCGAAGAAAGTACTTCGACAGGTTCAGATCTCCCAATTCTATTAAACGCTTCTCTTTCGTTCCTGTTCCAACTTTCGTTTAATGAAAAAAATTCGAAATTTTTTCTTACAGGTCGAGTTCTACTTCAGCGATAGCAACCTTCCAAGAGACAACTTTCTCAAAAAATCCATTAACGAGAGTGAAGATGGAAGTATCCTTCATAATCTTTTGTGTTTTCTCTCTAAACTCGTTTATTGATTTTTTTATATTTACTGTTGATTGGAATCATGTTTTGATATTTCGAATTCGAATTATTTCGTTTGCTTTTTATTTTTTCTGGTGTTGATCTTGACCGGGGCTGTTTAGTGGTTAGCTTGGCATTGATATGTTCGTTTGCTCGGATGAGAAATTATCTCGATTTGGGAGATGTTAAGCCGGACAATGTGCCTGAGGATACTTTGAAGGCCGTTGCCGAGACTCTCAAAATATCCAAATTTTTAAAGATTTCTGAAGATGGTGAGTTTTTATGGACGTGTTCGTTGATTTGGTTTGATTTAGTTTCTCTATTCTCTAAATGTCACACATAAATAATGCAATGCTGAAGAAAAGAGTAATACTTTCAAATTTCTATGATTGAGTGAATTATGTTGTGGAATTATGTCTGCTTTTGTTTATGTTTGTAGAAACAACGGTTTTTTTTTTTTTTTTTTTTTTTTTTTTGCGTTAATGTAATATTTTGGTGTTTACTCTTTTTAGGGAAAAGGGTTGGTAGGAGTATTGAACTGTTGAAACCGGATGAGTTGATAGAGCAGTTGGATGTTAGAACAGTAGCTGCGTTGCCGTTTGAGTACGATGTGAAGCGGGAAGATGTGGAAGCTTTCTTTAATCAATATGCCAAGGTATCATAACCACTTTTGTTTGTGATTGAAAGAAGGTTTTGAGTTATAACCATCGCGTCTTTTATTTTAAATATCTACAAAAGGGTTTTACTAGGTTAAGAATTTGAAAATTCATGTATCTGGTTGGATTTGAATTAAGATGTCCAATGATTTAGGTACTCAATTTTGTTTAGTAGTAAATTAGTGTTGATCGCTTTGATGGTTGTTTCGTTTTAATGTTTTACTGAAAGTGCAATCATCCTTAGCATATCACAGAAAGCAGATGGTGCTACATGATGTTGTAACTACACTAGCTTTTTATTATTATTATTTATTTAATAGGATATGCAATATCTATTTAGGTACTAGTGTGAGGAGTTTCCTTTTCATTGTTTCAGGTTAACAGTGTGAGGCTTCCTCGTCACATTGCTGACAAAAGGTTTTTCTGTGGTGCGGCTTTGGTTGAATTTTCTAAAGAGGAAGATGCTGAAAAGATACTAGAGCAAAGCTTGGTTTATGCAGGTGTTAAGTTGGACCTAAAACCAAAGTAAGTTTTACTTAAGTTTTCTGTATGAGTATTTAAAAAGCCTCTAATTATGGAAGTTCATTGGTCCTTTTTCATTTGAGTGATCCACATTTTAGCCTTTGAGTTTGATGATTGGCATGCTAAAACTGATGTGCTACAAAACTATTATTTTCATTTGTGTCCCAACCTGCAAAAGCAAGGTTTCCTTTTTTAAATGGATTTTTTTTTTCATTTAAACGGTTTAAGAACAAGAGCTTAGAAATAAATATATCAGAGTTTTTAGAGCAACCAAAAAGTGATTATCTTTTCCTCGTATTGGAATTGTATAACCAATCAAGAATAGCAAATTTATGTCTAAAACATAGAGTGAGAAAAAAAAAGGAAAGAAAACTATATATTCAATACCATCTAATATATTATTTCCAACTCAGGAAGGATTTTGATGCAGAAAGAGAAAAGGAGGCGGAGGAATTTGAGAACTCCTGTCCCCTCACGAGTTCAAAGGGAAAGAATTCCTCAAACACAGAAGCGAAGTAAGTAGTAATTTCATAACATGATTTCTGAGCTCTTTCTCTGCTGGTGAATGGTGATTGCTAATCTGATTATCTTCACTTATTGATGATCACAGTTACCCCAAAGGTTTAATTGTTGCATTTGCGGTAAAGAGGATGTCAGGTGAAGGTTCTGAGAAACAAAATGGGACTCACGAACCAGCCACTCACGAACCAGCCAGTGATAACACAGATGCTGGAAGAGCTGGTGCAGATCTTGGTTCCTCCGATAATGCCACTGAAGAAACCATTCAGCCTTCAAAGGAAGAAATCCCTAGAGAGAATGTCGACAATGGAAATGACTCCGAGAGTGATGGAAAGGAAACTAAAGAGGGAGAAAATTCTTCTGAAAATCCTGTTGCAGAGAAAGAAGAGAACGGAGAAAGACGTACTGCTGCTGACTACAAGGATGACATGGATGTAGTCTTGCGTGAGGATCTCAAGGCCGTTTTCCAAAAGTTTGGCACTGTCAAGGTCTCATCGTAACGATTCCTGTTTCCATTATTTGGATAACATGTTGCCCTATTTATTGCCCATTTATTCGTCTGTGTTTTTTTTTCTTAATTTGCTTTCGTATAACATTTCCTTTTCTTTTTTGTGTTAAGTTTGTCGATTTCAAGATAGGGGCAGAATCAGGGTATATTCGATTCGAAGAACCCGAAGCAACTCAGAAAGCTCGTGCTGCTGCTGTCCTGGCTGAAGAAGGCGGTCTGGTCGTGAAGAACTTCATTGCTACTTTGGAACCGGTCACTGGTGAGCAGCAATATTCGATTTTTTTTCATTAAGTGCTTATTTTGGAAAGTCAGTTTATCTATCTACTGTGTCCTTGTACTTTTAACACTTTGTATCTTCTGGCAATGATTGTGAATTTATTTATGAGTTTTTGCTTTGCCTGTTTTGCTCTCAGGTGATGCTGAAAGGGATTATTGGGGACTACTTCGTGGTAATCAAGATAAGCATCGTGATTTTAAGGGTAACCGGGGAAGGTTAGAACAATTACCGTCTCTTTAGTCATCCCTGCATTCTTGTTTCATGTCATTGCGGTCTTAATCTCTGATTCCAGTTCAGAATGCCTTGCTGAATATTCTCATTTATTTTTCGTGTGTTTTTTCCGCTTAACAGGGGAGGTAAACACAATAGAGGCCGGAAACAGAGCCGCTCAAGAGATAATGACGCGTCAGCCGGTCGGCCATCTAAATCTCAGAAAGTTTGCAGATAGAGAGTATCTCTAAACCTTAAACCTTAAAACTCAGTTTTGGCATCAATTTTGTTTGATGCTTAACTTAGCAGAGATCTGTGGCTATCAAGCAATCAGCTTCATCGCCTGTTGTCCGTCAAGCTTCAATTTAGATTTTTTTTTTCGTGGCTTGTGGAAGAATCTATTTATCTTGGATGCTTTTGTACCAGTGTAACTTAAGTCATTTAATAAGACTTCTTTTTCTTTTTATTTATACAAATGGCTTTCGAGATAACCATTCTTATGAATCTTGATTAGTATTCCCTGAAAAAGAACTGGCTAGAGTCTATTAAGTGGTGGAAGATTTGATTTTATTTATTTAGTCTTCAAATACAGGTACAGAAAACTATGTCAAAAAAAAAAAAAAACTAATGGAAATTGGAAATTCGCATTGTTCACCATCTTCTTTTGGCGTTTCTTTTTCTTTTGTTTTTTCCCCAACCCTTACTAAAGCCACATTACCGTCTTTCTCAGATGAAATAATTATCGTGTTTTTTTTTTATAAGAAAAGAGTGAAATTGTGTTATGTTTCATAATTGCTAAAATTTTGGAAAACTCAATATAGCAATGTTAATTATACGCATACCTAGCTCCAAACCGTAACCAAACACAACCTAGAACACCCTTTCATATTCTCCCTCCTCCATTCTTGGTCTATATGTCAGCGACCTCGCACTACGACGACACGCCTCTCATTAGATTTGATGCAAGGCAGTTCCTCCTCACAAATACAAGGTGAGATCTACGTAAGGGTGTTCTCCTTGTTAGCACGAGCTTCGCAGGTTAGCACGAGGCAGCTTGCCTCGCGCTTGGTGTGTTTGAGGTGGCTAGCCTAATTGGCTCCTGCCTCATGCTAGATCTGCCTAATTGGCTCCCGCGAGGCAACACCATACGAGGCAATATGATCACACTTGATCTTTGTTGATTTTGGCAATTGTAATGGTACGCTTTTGGGTGTTTGTTTGGTTCCGATATCAAGCTGTTACTATTGCAACTTATTCTAGTCCAAACACATTTGTTTTGATGATGTGAGGGCAAACTATTTCGAACTGAATATTCCTGAATGTAGATTGAAACTAAAAAGTTCAAATGTGAAGCTTAACCTCGCGTGGCAACAAAATAACTAATAGTTGATCTCTTTTGAATTTTGTCGTCTGTAATATTTACTCATGGATGCTTGTTTGGTTTCAATGTCAAGCTATTGCTATTATGAACTTTTTTTTTTTTTTTTTTTTGTTGAAATGGATATATATTCCGAAATATGAAAGACATTGTAAACACCATTAGATAACTAGTTTCATTAATAAACTCAAATGAAGCTTAAGAGAAAATAGTGTATACCGGACTCTACAAATGGAAATTACCCGAGGAATTACACAAAAAATCGAGCACACACATTTCTTTTTAACATATCCTCAATATTCGATAGAAACAATCCGATCAACGGATATCGAGAAACCTATAACACGAAGGCCAGACAAAAACCGCAAAAAAAAAAAAAAAAATCTTGTAAACGAAAAGAACAATAACCTAAACTAATCAGGGTAAGAATCACCTTTATTACAAACAAAAAAAAATCCACAAGTTAAAACATCAAAACACCAAAGAGAGCGAGGCTCCTCAACACTCAACACGAGAAAAACAAAACGGTAGAAAAGAAGAGTGGTTGGCAAACACATGCAGGTGATAACCGGCATGTGCACTACAAGACAACTCAACTTCTCTCGTAGATCACAACATCTACAAAGTAGGTCAAGAGAAGATATACGCATCTAAAAGCTCCTCAAGTCCAACGATCCTATCCTACTTTAGATGTGATCCGGCAATCGTTCTCCTTCGCAGATGGCATCAACCCCACCTTGAACTTAGCATCTAATAATAAAGCTTGTAAATAAATTTTGATGGCCAGAAGTGTCACGATACACCGAGCCTCTGGCCTTGAAAACTCTCTCTCTTTTTCCTCTCCCCCTTTTGTGCTTTTGCCAGGGCTGGTTAGTTTCCAATTTTTAACTTGGTTCTAATTTTAATACATTGTTTTGATAATGCGAGGGCAAAATGGTCTATTGAGCGTTAAATTCGAAAGATTGATAAGCTTAAAATCAAAAGTTCAAATGTGAGGGGTTGTCAATTTTCACACACTGATGCACCATTATTTATATATTTTTTAGAGGTTTTTTTTAGTAGATATTTTTGAAAGTATTGATGCAATAATTTAGATAATAGATAAGAAAATATTTAAATTAGTTATACATATCTTGTATGACCAGTTAGATATTAACAAGTGTATTGCGTTGATACTTTTAATTTTTTTTCTTAAGAGGATAAATCAACAACAAAATTAATTAAATTAAAATATTTGTTGGGATCATTTCTGACTTAGCTATCGTTCTAAATATGAACATATATATAGACATATTTTATATTCTAACAAATTTTCCAAATAAAAATGTTAATTCTTGCAAAGGGATTAATATTTTTTTAAGTAAGCAAACGGATTAATAAAAGTAGCAATAATAATACCATTAACAGACCTTCAAAAATGGAAAGCACAAAAAAAAAAAAATAATAATCATATTTGCAGTACGTTTGAAGGGAAGAATAAACGTGATGAATGAAAAAAGAAAAAGAAGAAAAGAACAAAGAACAAATCATAATTACTTCATGTTTTTTTTTTTAACAAAACAGATAAATAAAAAAAGAAATAAAAGTCATACAGAAAAAGGAAAAAAAGTCGTAGAATTGACCGACTATTCCAACGTGGCAGAATCTACACCCTTGGAAAACAAAACTTGCTCGACCTTTAATGCCCATAGGGTTTGAAACTCCATTATCCGCCTCTTTATGTTTGAAATACATACAGCTCCTGACCGTTTCACCTTCTTTTCTTCTCTTTTATTTCTTCTCTCTCTCTCTCTCTCTCTATCCCTCTCTAGATCTCTTCTCTCTCTACCACTGTTTTCCTTTTTGGATCTCCAAATGCTCACCGATTTGGTCGTATCCTTGAATCTCTCTCTCTTGCGGTTCTCTCCTTACTCTTCTCTGAAGCTCAGTTCGGTGAGTGACTTAGGGTTTTCCATTTGACTAATTTAGAAGTTTACTTTTGATCTTTAAATTTCTTTTGAATTCAATTCGATCAAGTATTTGACTTGTTAACGTACACTCTATGCGCTTCGGATTCGATCCTATCACTGTTTTTTGGGGATAAGTTTGGGATTTTTGGCCCCATTTTTGAAAATTTTGTTTTTCGTCTTATTGATCTTCATCGGCCGTTTTAATTCTTTTGGAATTTTTAAAATTTGTGAATTTCACTTTACTTTTTCATTTTGAATTTTGAGAGGTTAATTGTCTTATTTTCTTCTTATTAATCTTAAAATTTAATCTGGGTACAAATTATTTTAGTTATTAGGCCTATTCAGATATCTTGCTTCTTTTGGGTGCTTAGAATGTAACTTTGTCATGTACGGCTTTGGAGGATAATTGAGGTTCATTTTGGATATTACTGAATGTGTTGTCGGAGAATAGAGTCGTTTACTGAGTGTTTCTATGTAAGTTTTCGAATAGCTCAACTGGAATTTTTACGTTTTGTTGGTTGCCATTCCCTTTGAGTATACTCAATAATGTGAGTAGATTGATGAAAACGTTCTATTATTTGAAAAGAAAAAAAAAAAGAATGAGAACCATGGGTAAGTGTAAAATGGCCATGGGTACTTGGATTCTGATTTTAGATTATAGATGAAGTCAATGTGGTCTCTTCTAAAGTTATGCTTTATTACTTTACGCTGGAAACTCATGAAGAATTGTTGTCTATGAACTTTTACACCTATCGTAGTATTACGTATTAACAAGTGAATCATGTGCTTCAGTTATACTTGATCTAAGGCATAAACTTCTAGATATTGCCACTTTGGGTTTACTTTTCAATACTTATTATTTTTTCTATATTTTATGTGTATTAAGCTTGTAATTGTATGGCATATAAACCTTTGTGCTTTCCCCCCCTAGAGTGCAGCTCCGTTCTTCAGAGAGGTTGTTGTTGCTAGTTGTTAGCATTATAATGATTTGGAAGACATACAGTGGAGAGAGTTGCATTCGAGTAGGAATTGGGGTATGCAGATTTGCTTGTCCGTTGAGAAACCATGGAAAGTGACAGGAAAACTTCTAATCCTTTGGATGGTCTCGGTGATAATATTCAGAAAATCCGAGCTCTCCATGGGTAATTCTTCAGAATCACCTTTGCATGTCATGTCTAATTGCCTTTCTTCATAATTACTTGTTCTTGTTGTCATTATTGGACTTTTTTTTTTATCTAATGAATAACGACTGAAATATGTGCTGCCCCAAGTTGTGTTTGCTTCCCGATGCATATTATTTACTAAAGCATTTATCTGGTGCTTACGTCTTAGCACGCTTCTTCAAGTAGTTTATTTATTTTGCTGACTTAGTGTGTATGCAACTCTTTGCATAGGAGGACTAGCGGCCCTACGAGGCGTTCAACTAAAGGGCAGTGGACACCTGAAGAGGTGAGTGTCCTTAGACACATGCAAATATGAAAAGAAGTTACAAGTTAAATTTACTACTCTATTCAATTGCAGGCTTTATGTACTTTATGTCTAAGATATTTTTTCTTTTCTTCCCTTTTGAATTTTGGCTGTACTAACTTGTTTCCTGCCATGTTTTTAGAAGTTCCACCAGTTTCCTTGTACTTGATTGTATTTGTAATTGTTGCCATGTCTCATCGATGTACCTTATCTTTTATCACAATTCAAATCGAAAATTGGTGGCTATGACTCATCCATGTACCTTCTTTTTTCCATTTAAATACCTTTTCTTCATCATCTTTCAAATTAAATTTTTTGCATTTGAACCGTCTCCCCTTCCCGAGCATTAAGCATTTGAAGTTAAATGCTTTATTATTGCCTTCTAGTGATAATAGTATCAAGTTTCCCTTCATCATGTTTTGGCGGTTTGAATTGTATGTGCATACATCTTTTTATTTTTATTATTACTCAAAGGTCATTGTGCAAGAATCTGATGGATTTTGCATGTTTTAGGATGAGATTTTGGGGAGGGCAGTTCAGCGCTTTAAAGGGAAGAACTGGAAGAAAATAGGTATTACTATGGAACTGTCTTGCTTATTTCCATAAGCTTTTATGAATGCAATGTTAGGTTTTCCAATTACTCTTTAGCATGGCCCTCATTTTTTTTAGTTTCTACTTTTTACAACTCTTTTTGAGATTATATAAATCATTTGATATTATGTTAGTTTTTCTACTATAATTTCTACATACATGATGCAAATGTAAATTGCTTAAAAGCAAGGAACATGTCGATTAGCTCTAGGCTTAGGAAAAGGCAACTCAAATTGGTTTAGTCTAATATACTTCTGTAAGAGAAAGCTTTTAGGGGTGTGTTCTAGATTGCTCAAAGGACAGCGTATTTTTGTTTTTAGGCAGCTGCGTTCTTTCTTTTTTTGAAGTTTTGTTCATAACTGTATTTTACCTAAAGCATTTTTCTGTATTCTGGTATCAATCCATCTGTCTGTGTGAGTCCTTGACTTTATTTCCATTTCCTAACTGGTCTTGCTTTTGTATTTTCACGGTGTTCTATACTTTAATGCATTTAATTGAAAATTTTGGCTGTTGTAGCGGAGTGTTTTAAGGATCGGACAGATGTGCAATGCCTCCATAGGTGGCAGAAGGTCTTGAATCCAGAACTTGTCAAAGGTCCATGGTCTAAAGAGGTGAACTGTACCTCCTTTTCGTTTGTCTCCTGCTGACTTTATTTATAGTGGGATTGCTCGTTCCTGGGCCACATTGGCGCCCTGGCAACGCTAGACCATGTGAATAGTTCTTTGTTCTGAAACCTACAATTACCTCACTGTTTGCTTTTGTAAACTGTAAATAGGAGGATGAGATAATAGTTGAATTGGTTAACAAATATGGGCCAAAGAAGTGGTCCACCATTGCACAGCATTTACCTGGACGTATTGGTAAGCAATGCCGGGAAAGGTATGATTCTTCACATTGTTGTTATAGTTGTCATTTTCGTGAAGACTTGATGGTTTTTTTTCCCTGAATTATATTGTTTCTGTTGATTTTGTTGCTGCTAGTATTAGGATTTTTCTGTTGATATAGGAGAAAGTAGGTGTTGTGATTTGTTCTCACTTATGCTGAAACTAATTTTAGGTGGCACAATCATCTTAATCCTGCTATAAACAAAGAGGCATGGACTCAAGACGAGGAGTTAGCTCTTATTCGTGCTCATCAGATCTACGGGAACAAATGGGCAGAGCTGACAAAATTCTTGCCTGGAAGGTTTGTGTATCATTGTTATATATAAAGGGAAATTTTTTCTTCATTTCAGTTTGTTTAAGATGTAATAATTTTATTTTATCCTTAATTCAACTTTAGAGATTTTTCACTAGTTTTTGTCACACCCACGTGCTGATGTCTGTTGTAAACAAAAACTCATATTTATTTGTATATATTTATAAAACTATCTTGAATATTTATACATCTGTGCTTTTGTGTGCCCAACAGGACAGACAATTCTATAAAAAATCATTGGAACAGTTCTGTGAAAAAGAAATTGGATTCCTACTTGAAATCCGGTTTACTGACGCAGTTCCAAGGCCTGCCTCAAGTTGGACATCAAAACCAACCCATGCTTTCATCTTCTATGAGGATCCAGAGTAGTGGAGATAGTGGTCCAAAAGGGACAGAAGCAGAGGAAATTTCAGAGTGCAGTCAAGAGTCAACTGTTGCCGGTCACTTTCATTCTGCAAATGAAATGGCCAATGTGGTGGTACATAAGAGAGAGGAATTTCAGAGTACTGAAGTATCTGGTTCAGGAAAGGAGCCAAACTCCAGTCCAGCGTCTTGCTCAGAACCATATCATCCATCTTTGGAGGATCCTGCTTTTTCCATGATGGAAATATCTAATGACATAGGTTGCATTACCAAATTCCTTCAGCAGAATTTCTCACATGATGGTGATTGTTCTATTAGTGGCGATTACCAGTTTGATTTACACGAGATACATAACATTTCTTCACTAGAACGGGAACCAGCAGGGATGCATTCACATTGTTTGGCTTCCAACGAGGGCCATGAAATGACTAATGTTCCATTACAAACTTCTGAAGAGATAGCCGCTTCTACTTCCATGGGGAATATGATCAGGCTCACGGGTTCTGATAAACCACAAATCATGCTGATATCCGACGATGAGTGTTGCAGGGTCTTATTTTCAGAAGCAATGGACAATGAGTGTTTTCCCTCTGGAAATCTTGATTTAGGTGGATTCACTGGTCCATTACTTTGCCAATCATCTAACATTCAGATATCTGAAGATGGAGCTGCAGCTTCACAATTACATGGTCCTTTAAGCTCCAATGTAACAGGCACTTCGTTCTCTCAGTCATTCTTATGCACTCAAGTTTCTGCTGATGATGGTCCAATTATGGTCGGTGGCAAGTCCAATCATTTATTTGGAGTTCAAGAGCAAGATTATGCCACCTGTTCCCGTGATGGATTCATCTTTACCAATGATTCTGCCAATTCTCCTTGCGATGATGGTATAGATATGACAGAAATGCAAGAAGAACTGGATACAGTAAAAGCTCCTTCAAAATTAGTCCCTGTAAATAGTTTTTGTTCAAGATCAGATACACAAACTTGTTCCACGGATGCTCAACCAAATGTGCACAAAGAAGAGCAGGATGCAGGAGCACTATGTTACGAGCCTCCTCGCTTTCCAAGCTTTGATGTTCCTTTTTTTAGCTGTGATCTTGTACAGTCTGGTGGTGAGATGCAGCAAGAATATAGCCCTCTCGGTATTCGGCAGCTGATGATGTCTTCTATGAACTGTCTCACTCCATTTAGGTTATGGGATTCGCCAACTCGTGATGGTAGCCCTGATGCTGTACTAAAAAGTGCAGCTAAAACTTTTACAGGTACACCATCCATTTTGAAGAAGCGACACAGAGAGTTCTTGTCCCCATTGTCAGATAGAAGAAATGACAAAAAGCTAGAGACTGACATGACCTCCAGGCTGAGCAAAGATTTTTCACGTTTAGATGTTATGTTTGATGCTTGTGTGGTTAATAAAAGATCTTCACAATCCCCATCATCTAAGCAGAATAGGGACTCTTCACAGGTGACTGAAGATGAAAAAAAAGTTCATAAAGTAAATGAAGGCAATAAATCTGAACAAGAATGTCAGAAAGCTAGTGATAATACTTCACCTTCTGGGGACAGAAATTCAGGTAAAGTCGTTAGCAATAATGAATACCAGGAGAACAAAGAGCAAGGAGCAGCTGATGTTGATGATAAGACCAAGAATGCTGTTAATTCCACTTCCCAACCCCCTTCCGGAGTTCTTACCGAACATAATATGAACGATCTACAATTATTTTCTCCTAAACAACATGATTTCAGAGCTGACAAAGTATTTGCTTCAATTTCTAGAACTTCAAGAAATCATCTCAAAAGATTTGAACCTACACCAAGTAAAGAGAACCCTTCGAAATCATCATCTGGAAAGGCGATACCTTTTACCTCACCTTCCATAAGCAGGAAGAAGGTTGAAAGTTTGCCTGTTGCAGAGACGAGTGCACAACATGATCCTTCATCAGTCCTCATGGAGACTGTGGGTTGTACTGCTGGGAGAGATGCCACAATTGAAACTTTTAGCATGTAAGATTCATTCTTTTTTGTTCTGTTTTTATATTGTTATTATACAAGCTTTCGGTGGAATTATCAAATTTATGTCAGCTTGAGCTGCAATACGACATTCCTTAGTTTGGTAATAGAGGATGCAAGATTTTCCTAATGGTTGCTTGGGTTATTGTTTTTGTTTGTAGATTTGGTGAAACTCCATTTAAAAGAAGTATCGAGTCCCCTTCGGCATGGAAGTCCCCTTGGTTCATCAACTCCTTTGTACCTGGCCCGAGGATTGATACTGACATCACAATTGAGGTACTAAAGAACTTCTGGTTATCATATGGTATGTGACGTGTTAGTGTTTCAAATTCTCACTGATTTGTGGAACCTCTCCAGGATATAGGGTATTTAATGAGCCCAGGAGATAGAAGTTATGATGCCATTGGGTTGATGAAACAGATAAGTGAGCAAACTGCAGCTGCATATGCCAACGCACAGGAAGTTCTCGAAAGTGGAACTCCGAAAACATTATTGAAGGAAATATTTAATCGTGACACACAGGAGCAGGATAACAATCAGCAAGGAACTCGTTCAAATATGCCTCAAAATATTTTGGTACAACAAGTTTTATATATATATATCTATATATATCTCAACAACTTCATGAATTTTCTTATGTAAACAGGTTATGTTAATTGTACAAGTATCATCTCCTATGGTTTAGTCCAACATGCATTTTAATGGGTATTCACAGATTTCTTCGTTAGGTATCTATAATCAATTGTAAGAATAGTCAAACATACATTTGTCAATGACTCGCTGTCCCATGAGCTTAAGATTAGAGATTCTTATGTTAACGTGTTTCTTCTTACCTAAGGTCCACCCGTCAAAAGTTGGAGGAGATTTCTTTTAGGTTTAAAACTTTATTCGAACGAACTGGTGGTCCCTTTGTTTTTCGGTTTTGCACAAATTCTATTTCCTGTTTTATGCATATGAACACTTGCAAATGTATATATTTATCTACGTATAAGCCGAAATTATCTGTTAAAATTTGATTTTCAACTAAATAGTTGGGATTCTTTGCAGGCCGAGTGTCGCGTCCTCGACTTCGGTGAATGTGGAACTCCCGGGAAGGGAGCTGAACATGGGATTGCTATCGGCTTCTCAAGCCCCTCTTCTTATCTGCTGAAAAGTTGCAGATGACGATTTCTTATGGCCATAAACGTGTAATGTATTTTAGTATTTAATCTATACATATCTAAAAAAAATTGGTGGTAAACCCCGTTTTTGCTTTTTTCTTTTTTTCCTTGGTTATAGCTTTAGTTTCTTGTTTCGCCATTCTAAAACTCGTTTATTACGCCCTTTAGTTTCTTGTTTCGCCATTCTAAAACTCGTTTATTACGCATGTATTCTTTTTGTGTTTAGCCTTTTGGCTTGAATTGTATATGAGGAAATTGAAACCTGAAGTAATCAGACCAACATTATTGACTGTTATTTGCACCATAGTACCGTGAGATTCCCTACTTGGTCTCTAAAAGCAAAAATAGTCCCTTTTTGTGTTCCATAAGACGATTCCTACTTACGTTCTGTAAGCAAAAGTGATCCATGTTTACGTTCAATTATCCATAACAATTTGGCAGGAGAAAAAGGCTTCAAGATAGAGGACAAGGTATTATAGCATCTTTAGAACTGTGTTAATAGCCAAAGCTCGGATAAAAATTAAAATGCATTATTGACTTGTTTAGACTTTGGATCTACACAAGGATTCTTTTATGATCTTATAGATTGAAAATGAATAAACAAGTTCATCACTAAGAGTGGAAACGAACATGTTATATTTGATCACAATTCTCAAGGCTTCTTGTACTGTATGCACTATACCTCTATATTTTCTTCCGTTGCTTAAATGAAATGTAGAAATACCCAACGATCGGAGTCAACATATGTGCACCGTCATTTCCCATATATATATTTTTTTTTATGGAATCCCATATAATTTTATAACCCTTTATGTATTTATTTTCCAATAAAAGAAAAAAGAGGAGAAAAAAGAGTAGGTGCTTTAGTCGCTTTTGCCTTCTTGGCTTTCGGACTTGTAGCCAAGTTGTCTAACGACTTCTTCCCTTGGCATGGAGACAAGACTAGTTGCCGCAAGTAGTTAGTTGTAGGACTAATTTTCAGGGCATATTTTGGTCCTTCTCTAGTACTTAGAAAAACTGAGCGACACGAATTTATGCAAAATGTTTATTATTAACTAACTGTGATATAATTGGACATTATAATTCTCCTCATAAAATTGTCCTCGAACTTTTGACATACCAAAGAGTTAAAAGAACACAATTCATATGCTTTCTTTATAACGTATTTCACATCCATAAAGATTAGATAAGATTGCAAGATATAACACTTTAATTAAATACAAACACATATATTCAAAAACTGTAAAAGTACGTATACATAAATTCATCTATGCACAGAGGTATACATAAATTCATCTATGCACAGAGGCCATATACGTTTGTGTTCATACATAATATCTACAGTATGTACAATGTTTACTTCTTTAGTTTAATATTGTTAACTTTTATAACAACTTTCTCGTAGTACAGTAGATTCATGCATACAGAAAAAGGGTCTAAAAGTTGAACATCACTTGAGAATCTTGATTCATTAGGTCTTTCACTCCTTTCTAGTTTGAAACTCTTAAAAAAATAAGATGTAAAATCTCGAACTTCTTTTATTGGTTTCTTAAAAAGCAGTGGCTTATTAAAACTATAGAATACTAATTTACAACAATTCACACATTTCCCATAATTTCTTAAACCTAAACCTGTACATTTCCTATTTGTTGTGTTCCTCCCGGTCCAGGTACCTTATGAGAATAGTACAAAATAGAATTATAGTTCCAGAGAGCCTCCATTCTTTTAGCTTTAACTAGTGATAATGGCAAAAGAACAGAAACTAGTTAAAGCTAGAAGAATGGAGTCTATTCGGAACCACAATTTTATTTTGCACTATTCTCATAAGCTACCTAGACTGAGAGGAACACAACAAAGAAAAAAAAAAAAAGAACAACTTAGCAAGTTTTAAGAGACTATGAGAAATGTGTGAATTGTAGTAAATTAGTATTTCATAGTTTTAATAAGCCACTACATTTTAAGAAACCAACGAAAGAAATTCGAGATTTTACCTCTTATTTTCTTGAGAGTTTCAAACCAGAAGAAAGCAAAAGACTCAATCAAATAAGATCCTCGAGTGATATTCTAAATATATATCCGTTTCCTATATACATTGTCTTACGTGAAAATCATTAAAAAAGTTAACGATATTAAACTAAAGATGAAGACATTAGACATATGTAGACATTGTATATGAACACATATGTATATGACCTCTGTGTATAGATGAGTGTATGTATAAAATTATGAGGCTAGGTTTTATATGTACTTTTGCAGTTTTTCAATACATGTGTTTGTATATAATTAGTTTATGTATTATGAACATTGCAGCAAACAACATTATAATATAATGTGTGAAATAATCTTAGTATCATGTTTTGAAGCTAAAACTGTTACAATGTGAATTTATGATTTATTATCTAGATTTCAATTTGTCGTGATTATTTATTTATTTATTTTTATCATGAGATTGAATGTACTAGTTTTTGGATGTGTAATCATAATATATAATAACTTTGCTTTTCGAAAGAAATATGATTTGATTATATTAGACCCTTTAGCACAACCAATCTTCTAAGAGGACTGAACTTTGCACTCAATTTTGTATTGGATATAAGATAAGTAAAATCTTCAACTATATCCCAAAAATTATATGATTATTACGTTTTCTATGTGTATGTGATAATGTTTATCCTATGATTTGTGAAACATATGAAAATATGACATATGTTCATTGTATTATTAATGAAGTTATATGAGAACATGACAAATTAACATGTTCATAATGAATTGAGCATATATGACATTATGCACAATATGTAATATTTGCTAAAGAGAAATGAAGGTTTTCTTCTTTTTTTCCCCCTTAAAATGAAGTATAGTGTTGGTGGTCGGATAGGCAAGGGACGTGAGTGGGACCAGCCGGCCCAAAGACTGGTAGTAAATACTTGGGGGCCGTTTAGTATGCGGGAATCAGTAGGAATCATATTCCCAGGAAAGTGATGGAGGGTAATATGATTCTTAGGAATAATACATTACTGTGTTTGGTTCCATACAGGAATCTTTTTTAAATTCTCAAGAATATTACATTATTGTGTTTGGTTGTTCGCATGGAAGAAGATCCATAATAATACTATTAATAAAAAAAATATTATTATTATTATTAAAAAT